CCTTCAGAGCGGCATTATGCGTCCTGAAGTAAAGCGAAACGGCTATAAACTCCAGCAAGATAGAGTGATTATATACAGAGCCATATACCTTTATCTACAAATAAAGTATAATTACTATAGAAACTGTGTTCATCTTAACTGAAAGCTTCGTCCTGTTTCCTGGCCTCATTCAATCGCGCACCTGTCCAATCAACACGTAACGTTAACTCCCAAAGGGTTAAACAAAGCTCACCGCACGGTTACAGAAAAGTTTCCTCTGCAGAGGAGTCGGGGCATCTGGTGAACGCCCATGCCTCTCTGCACAGCCACATTAACAACAATGCTTTGACAGCACTGGCAATGTTTCTGCCGTTGTCTGTTGTCAAGAGGGGTTAAGTTGGTTTTGTTTTTGATATTCCTGACACATTCAGACGGTCCCTTACTAAGAGCTCTGTGCGAACTCTCCCGGTTAAACGCTTATTGCGAGGGCTTAAACGGAGCATTGCTCGTTATGTCGAGCGGGAAAAGTGTTTCCTCACGTTCTTCTTCAACTAGCTCAACTTTTGCAGGCACTCGTGACGTTATTGGAAAGGTAGTCACGGGGTGTGTCGCGATTCTCCCTTATCACACGGCGACACAGGATCGTAGATCTGAGTGTCGCGATTTCGATTTTATATCGTGTATCGTTACAGCCCTAGTAGTGTTGTGTGTCCAGCAGTGTGTAGTGTTGTGTGTTCAGCAGTGTGTAGTGTTGTGTGTTCAGCAGTGTGTAGTGTTGTGTGTCCAGCAGCACCTTCTCCTGTTTGGACTTGAGGATGAGCTCCTCGATTAGCTGCTGTCTGGATCTGGGTTTCTGTTCTTCATCTCCGTCTGCTGAACTCTTCTTCCTCAGCAGACCTCCTCCACCACCGAAGTGTGTGGCCGTCAGTTCAGCTGCGCACACACACACACACACACACACACACAGAGATGTTTATTCACTGATAACAGCAGAGCAGTGCAATGATGATGATGATGATGATGATGATAAAGATGACGAAGAGCTTCACCTGACAGAAGGCCCTTCTCCTCTGAGTCGCTGTCAGAGTCCTGCAGATCCGGCATCTTCTCCAGCTCCGCCAGTGACTGACCGTAATGAGTGAGCTGCTCATCCTCATTCAGGTTAAACACATCTCTCCTGTCGTGAAGACGCTACACACACACACACATTTACATATATACATACACACATTTACATACACACACACACACACACACACAGGTATGCACACTAACACACATGCATGTGCGCACACACACACACACACAGACACA